TATGTTGCCTAAGAACCGACTCTAGGTCGACGCGCTCCGTTCCCTGATTTCTCAGCAACATAATATAGTGAATCGCCACAGTCGATCTTTATATCTACTTTATACCTATGTGTACAATGAAAATGTCGTACCTTAATTTGCCCTGGCCCATAATTTTTTTGTTCCACCACTGACTAGTTGTAGTAATTGCATATATTTTTGTTATCTACCCGCATAAATATGTTGTTCCTTCCGCATATAGATGTTTGCATAATATGACCATGATGCATGGCAATGCAGTAGTACTAGTAGCATGTACGATGCGTGCATGGCAGAGAATGTGAAGCTGCAGCAGCTAGCAAGGTGACGCCAAATCAAAAGCTCAAATAAAACTAGGATCAATCATAATTCAGAAAGGAAGCTTATGTGCAACGAAAGTAAACATACTTTTTTTTAATTTTTACGAATTTACAAATGAAGCTTATACTTGGGAATATATAAAAGGAATGGAAAGGAAAAACTGTCGGTCTGTAATCTGTGTATGGGGATTTCTGTCAGTTTCTGCCACTCCTGTCAGTATATATTTTCGTTTTCATAAGTACCAGTACTACTACTCCTGTCAGTATTTTGGCGGCCTTGTTTAGCTCGTCAAATTTTGGAAATTAGGTCACTGTAGCACTTTTGTTTTTATTTGGCAATTAGTGTTCAATCATGGACTAATTAGGCTCAAAACGTTCGTCTCGCAATTTCCAACAAAACTGTGCAATTATTTTTTTTCGTCTACATTTAATGCTCCATGCACGTATCGCAAGATTCGATGTGATGACTACTGTAGCACTTTTTGAAAAAAGTTTTTGAAACTAAACAAGACATGAATGAATGGTTGTTGCAAGTCTGTACTCTGTACTAGCAGCAGAGTTGAATGTTCGGTAGTTTTGGTACCGCTGCTCAGGCTGCTATCCCCTGTGGTCTCTCTCTGGAGGTGCATAAAAGCACTTGCAGACTTGCTGCACACCCTGACCGATCTGCCCTGACCTCACCGTTTTCTTTTCTGACATATAGATGTTTCTATTTATTATGCGGAAGGAACAACATATTTATTATGCAAACATATAGGACATCGACATATAGATGTTTCTATTTATTATTCATGACAATAGCATTTCGCATTTTACTTATCAAATTATGTTCCTGGTTTTAGTCAATGCCTGGAGTAGAACAGACTAATAAAGGATAAGATGTTAGCATTTTCGGTCCAATCGCCTTGCGCCATATGATATGAAGCCCGGCTGCGCTCCTGGCTTGCTGGAAGCAGGCCATTGATCGGCTTCCGTATGTGTTGCCCTTCACGCTGTGTCGCATCGATCGATGTCTGCGTCTGCTTTGCCGTCGCCCAGATTGCTTGCCGTTGCTGACTTGCGCTACTGAATTTGCCGCGTGCTAGCTGTTACTCACCGATCCCATTGCAGTTCTTTTTTCCTTGTGTCCATCTTGTTTGAGTCATACAGCATATGCAGTGGGCTAGTCCTGCTTTCTCTTTGTTTGACTACTACTACTACAAGTACTACTACTACTAGTAGTACTACAAGTACTACTACTACTAGTAGTACTACAAGTACTACTACTAGTACTACTACTAGTACTACTACTTCTACCACTAGTACTACTACTTCTGCTACTTATACTACTTTTTTTCTTACATCTCTTAGAACAAGGCACGAAATGTCGCGAACAGCAAAGAGTGCATCCTGATGCCCCGTGAATGATGAGCATCCATCCCATGGAGAGCAAGAACTAGATGACCAGCTTACTCAGGAGCAGTTCGATAACGAGTTAGAAAAGGGTTGATGTTTACTCAGGAGGACCTTGTCGATGATGAGGATCCAGTGGGGGGAGCCTAGGGAAGAGAAGGCGGAGAGGATGAGGATGACGACACCTCATCAGGGGATATGTAAGTCCCGATGATCCTTTCCCACGAGAACCCAGACGGAGGCCAACGGAGGACGAGTTGGACAAGGATTTTGATCCAAACGACGAGGTACAGATAAAGCCTTAGTAGCTTGTAAATTTAGCTAATACTATGGCTATATGTTACCTCTGCTAACACTTTTGACCTACCAGATATACAGGTCGTCCCTACTCAACCTCTCGAAAAAGATTTACTCACCGCCTCCGGCTCGTCTTGCCGGACAATACGTAGCGGGGCAAAGGAGATCAGAGGAAGGAGCCACAGATACTCACAATGAGGCCTCCGCTCCACAACCTTAGGACACAACCACGACTGAGACTGCCCAGCCAAAGAGGAAACAAGGGGGGATTAGAAAGCCAAACAAATATCACGACAAGGCATGCTATGTGATAACAGAGGTTGGGCCAGACGGACAGATCCTTGAGCCATATACATACAGGGCGAAATTCCATAATCACATCGGGTTTGTAGTTAGAGATAAGTTGAACCCAGCTATCCGTGGCTGAAATCTTGTACCTATGAGCCAAAAGGTAGACCTATGAGAGAAGCTAAAGCAGAACTTCAGGTTTCCGGAGGGAACGCACGAGTTGGTACAAGAAAATGCTTTTAAGATAATGGGGCAAAGCTTCCGACATTGGCGGTCGGATCTGAACAAGAACTTTATCCAACAGAAGTTAACTTATTTCCACGAGTATGGCAACATAACTCCTAGTCAATGGGAGGAGCTCGTGGCTGAGAAGACTTCAGAGGCATCATTGGCCCTCAGTGCCCGTAAATAAATGAAAGCAGCGGAAAGAAGAACCAACACTACCCTCGTCTAGGCCCCGGTGGCTACGCTGGCAAGCAAGAGGTCTTTAGGAAGATGGACGCAGAGGCCGGAGCTACCGAGAATACGGAAGTGCCGAAGTTGAAGCCACGCCTCAAACAAAGGATATCTTGCGAGGAGTGTGGATTCATCCGGTAGTAGCCTCAAGTTTGCTAAGCCGGAGACCAGAGAGGTAGTATCAAAGATACCTGAACTTCTTCAAGACAAGGAGAAGGGCGCATTCAACCCTTCCAGATTTGAATTTGAATTATTTTTTTTTCAGGAAAATCCACTGTAGGGGCGGTTCTTGATTGAACCGCCTTTACAAATACACACAGCAGGGGCGGCTGGTGATACATCCGTCCTTACAGAAGTCCACTACAGGGGCGGCTGATATTACCAGCCACCCCTACAAAGGGCACTGTAGGGGCGGCTGAAAACACCAGCCGCCCCTACAGAGGGCATTGTAGGAGCAGTCAGGAAACCACCCCTACAGAGGCACCCTCTGTAGGAACACCCTGGGAAGGACGGCTGGCGCAGCCACCCCTACAGAGGCTCTAGAGCCACCCCTACAATTAACTTCTGTAGTAGTGTCAGATAGGGGGAAGACCAAATCTAGGTGGTAAACGAAACTTGTGGATATTGTTGGAGCCGTTGAGGTGACTGGGATATCGAAGAAGGTTCCTCGGTGTTGCTTGAATTGTGAACGGTATATGTATATTTGTTCGGTTAGATTGTTGTGTGGCTCTTATAGAATGCATTGCTGAAGATCGGATGGTTCATATCCTTAGATGACGTGGATGAATAAGGAACTATATTTAGAGATATTAATTGCAGTTAGTGGGTATGAACTATATAGATACTATAATGGTCATATTCTAGTTAGGAATGCAAAATAGGTTTATCCACAAATCCGCAAATATCTTAATTTTACGGATTACCTATATAACCCGTAAAAATTAAGCCTTTTTTCGGGTTCGTGGATAAAACCGCTTGTATCCCTATATAAATGCTCCACCGCGCGCGTCCGTCCCGCACCCAGACAACGAACGCTACGTGGTATCACGTGGTCCACGTATTTTCCCACCACACAAATATCTACTTCTGTCATGTGGCCAAACTTATCCTCTATGGTTCCATCTCCTCTTTCTCTCCTCCGTCACTCCATTCAAAGCAACAACGAGAGGAAGGATATCGTGGAGCCTGTGTGACTCTCCTCCCCATATCGATCGAACTCGCATGCTTGCTAGCCAAGGGGCGCTCGCCAGCTGCTGGAGCAGCAGGTGGTGCTCGTGCTCGCCAGCCAGGGGGTGCTCGCCAGGCAGGGGTGCTTGCCGAGTAGGCCGCCGTGCTCGCTAGTTGCTCCTCGTGCAGGTGCTCGCCCAACACTGCTCTCGCGGCCTCGCACAGGTGCCTCCGCTGGGGCACCGGCGAGCTCCATGCGCCGCCGCCGACCTCCGCACCAGTGTCAAGCTCCGCAATGATGAGCCTACATTCGTCCAAGCAGCAAGGTGATATTGCGCTGGAAAGCGTATGTTTTAAGTGTTTCAGAGGTGTATTGCAAGTGTTTCTCATCGATGTTGCAAAAGTAAATCGGAACGTTGCACATGTTGCAATAGCTATACACATGTTTCAAGTGTAGGTTCTAAATATTTCATCTATTTCAGACGTATTTTGCAATTTCATCTGGATGTTGCAAAAATAGATCTATGTTGCGTATATATGTAAGTGTTTCAAATGTTTTCATACGTATGGTGCCAATATTTTCATCTGTATGTTTGCAATGTTTACAATGGCTACACACGTCTCAAGTTTTTTCTGGTGTTTCGCAAGTGTTTTGGACGTATGTTGCAAGTGTTTTAACTGTTATCGGACGTATGTTGCAAATGTTTCCTCTAAATGTTGCAAAAGTAGATTTGTGTTGCACATGTTGCAGTGAGACTCATATACCGCAGCGTTGAGCCCACCTACATGCGCGTGGTGTGGAGGGGGCGCAAGCGGGAAACTATGTAGGGCTGCGGGTGCAGATCGAGACGGAGCGGCACGGGCCCTCACGTGAAGCAGGCGCAGACGTGCAGAGCTGTCATCTGGAGGTCCGGGCGTTTTGACCCCTCACCCCCATCACCCCATCATCATACGCTTCTATGTGCGGTTGCATATAAAAGGCAAACAACCAAGCAAATAATTGATTTATTCTGTGACATGCATGGTTATCGCGGTTACGATCCACAGGGTTGCTGCAATCGTTTATTCGTCTTCCCCGCGCTCACTATGCACGCGTCTCGGACGAGCTATACGGCGGGATCGATCCGAGCTCCGCGTGGCTGGTCGCTCCGGCTGCGGCGACGGCGACGGCGCTGCGCACTGCGGGCGCAGGCACTCGCAGAGGGGCAGCAGGTAGGGGAACCCTTTCTTGCAGCGCCCGTCGACGAAGTGGTCCTCGGCGCACGCCGCCCTGCACTTGGCCGTCCTGAAGCAGCAGCGGTAGCGGTCGCGGTCCAGGACCCAGCAGTCGTCGGCTCCGAGAGCACACGGCACCTGCAGGCCTGCGTGCACATGCATCAAGGACCGTGAGCTTGTAGCTCGATCGGAAGTTGCACGAACAGATTTCTCTGGTTGCATCGAAGGGTAGTAGAGCGAGGCTCTGCTTACATGATTGCACGAGAAGTAGCCATACGACGAGAGTGGAAGCCATTGCCTTCCTCGGCTGTTCCATCGCCGTCTCCTGCAGGAGCACGATGCACGCCGATCGACAACCAGTTTGTTTGGCTGTGGCCGATCGTAAATGATCGTAAATTTTCAGTCGGAATAGTATTTTTCTCTCATACAAACCAGTCAGCAGTACTTCTTCATAAACCAGCAACGAAACGAACCAGAAAACCGAACAGACCGAGCTGCTGCTCGAGAATAAATATTTTTTTTTCTGGATGATAGGCGTTCGCGTGGGTATATGGATATATGGAAGCGCGCGACCAGGAATGCTGCGTCTGTCAGGTTCCAGGAAAGTTCGCAACACAAAATGGTTAGATGCTGGCATCACCTTAAGACCTCTGCAGCATGAATTCTCCCTCCAAAATACTGTGTTATTATGGGCTGCTGGTCAAATTTCTCTTAAATTTGATTATATTTGTAGAAAGTATTGGCAATATTTATTTCTTCAAATAAGTTTATTATGAAAATGCATTAAACGATTCATCTAATGATACTAATTATGCACCATGAATGTTATTATTTTCTTATAATTCATCTAATGATACTAATGATGCACCATAAATTTTAGTATGTTCTTATATATATTTCATCAAAGTTAAAAATATTTGACTTCTCGAAAAGTGAGAACCCCGCACCAAAATTATTGCTAAATACGTTCGAAGTAGTACTTAAAAATCGGTGCAACCCACATCCAAAGTACGCGGGATCCGTATTCACACTGTATTCCAGTTTTCAGATAGAACCTGACCTGACCTTGATTTTCTTTTAGGACCCCTGACCTGAGCTGACCTTAGATTTTTTTGAGGTTACATAGTACAACGTAGACGCTCACAACGTACACACACTCACTCTATGGACACACACGTAAACCCTACCCTTATAAGTATATTCGAAGACTGGGCTGATCCATTATTGCTCAATTGTGTTCGACACCATGGGTCGTGGATTGTGGCCTCTAAGAACACGTAGCTTCATCATCTTGTAAACTACTAGTATCAGGGCGCGCGCCTTCGCGCGCCCGTGCAGCAGTATCAGGGAGCCACTACATATCTTCCGGATGATTTTTTTTCAGTCGATTAATCAGATTTATATCCAATCATTACATGATGCCTAGTTTCCTGAAAGCAGAGCAAAATCTGGTAGATAAAGGAAGGCAATTACACCCAGATTTTACCGAAAAATAAAACAATAAAGAGTGAATGAAATTACAACAATCGACAACCAGATCTAATCAAATATGTGACCTCCTCACGTGTAGCAACAATTCCACCATCAGCTTTACATGTGCAGCAGAGAGAAAATCTTGCAAAAAATAAGTAAATACTCATTTGACTAAAAGAGATACAAATGAAATGAAAGATAGAATAATCAACATTAATGGAAAATACATTGTTATGGTCACGCTGATGTTCAAGTTCACGTGATGAGCTCCATCTAAATTTGATATTAAAAAAATCATACAGTTACAATTTGCAAAAGCTACCATACTGACAAAACCGAAATGCCAATTACTAAAACTATTTACCTATGTACACAAAGAATTAGAGATCAAAAGTACTGAAAAACTAACATGCCGAGATAGCTCCTTCCATTTTTTCTGAACCTACTCACCTGAATACTTGTTCTAGCTGCTAATCAAGAAAACCGGTTTGATGCACTGCTGACAGACAGAGAATAGTGAAACTGAGTATAGGCAATCTAATATTAATAAAGCAGAATTTGTGCTGACACAAAAATATTGAAACACTGACACTCAAAAAACATAATAGAGTATTCACTATTGCATGAAAGTGACCTTCACAATTTTAAGCACCCTGATGCACCATTCCAACTGCATCACAGTACTCTAACTATTTTACTTCTATTTAGTTACTGAACAGAGTTTTTGAAAGCTGAACCAAACTGTAAGTCTGAGAACACAAAAAAAAAAAAAAGCTGGTAGGCGAGAGGTTCAAACCTCTTAGTCTGCAGATTAGTCACGGCAAAAAGGAAAAGAAACCATTTGCAACCAAATCAAAGGATTTGACTAATATTGCTGTTCTTCTTACCTAAAAGAGGCGGAAGCGACTAACATGGCCATGAAACCGGTACACCCCAACGCAAAAAATAAGAATGAACTCAAAACTTATTAACTGAAACTAATAGCAGCATTTATCTTGCCTGAACTAATAGGAACATTAACTGTAGCATGAAAGGGATATCAAATGTTTCTCTATAGAGTCAATCTTACAAAAAAAGAATCAGTGTACAACTCTAAGTAGGAATCAACTCTAAGCTGTCGTTATCCTCGTGACCTGTTTTTTTGTTGTTTTGGCTCCCCTCATGACCTGTTTTTTTATTGTTTTGGTCCCTACTGATGTGTGTGTACAAATATCTGTCTTAGTAGTTAAGATGAGAAGCAGGATGAGAAGCAACTTCGCTGGGAAGCCGCTTCAACAAATCTTTTTGAACCTAGCCTAAAAATATTAGACTTTGCCTTAGGCGCAAAGACAAAATCGTGAAGACTCATTTGGATGGGGTACATAAAAATGTTAGGATGGATGTTTCTTTTGTTAAAAAGGAAAAGCTATTTTTCTTATAGCGCAAAGAACCTTCCTTATTCAGAACGTCCTCTGTTGATATAATAAGATTAAGGCTATGAAAGCCAACAATGACAGGTATGATATACATACGAAAATGTTTGGGCTATGTCTACATGAATTGTGCTACTTGAGCAGAGACCAAAATTGGAAGCCTCATCATTTTAATATAGCATTCCACTATGGTTAGTTTATAAAAAAAAGAGCATCATCAGCAGGCTAAATCATTTTGTGAAACCTGGTTGGTGGTTGACTGAAAGAATTCAAAGGAGAATACGTAGCATATTTTTTTAGTGTGATAGGTTGCATGGAAGTCTCTAAATAACCAATTTCAGATTTGAGCGACGATCTAAAATAAAGGGAACTAACTAAAAAAATAGATGTGAAGCATGTATTTTACCTTCATGAGCTTACATCTTGAGGTCGAGTGATCCAAGCGATCCAGGCAATGATGATTCACTTCTTTAGCATTTGAATAGAATTAGAGTTTTCGTAGTCTTTGACAGGGAAAATGAAAGCACGTTCTCAAGTGATATATTGTGCACTCACAGATTGCATAAATCAGTTAGTTTGTGATAGAGCGCAGGTCTAAGCATTGGGGTAATAATCATATTAGACTCCAACAGGTGATAATATTTTTTATCATAACCTGCTGATGCAATGCAACTTATCTCGCAACAATCTTATCGATGACCATAAAGGAAATTACCTATCGTTGGCAAAATTGTACGAACAGAGATCCTTTCCAAGCATTACATATAGCTTCTTCGAGTTTACGTACATAATAGAAACAAATATGCAGAGATAATAATCACTATCGAGTATAGTAACTTTTAGTTGGTCAAAGTCTTACGTATGGATTAATTGCTGAAATTACATTCTCACTAATACCAACATTTAAGAATAAGAAAAATAACGAGAGAACTTGCAAATGTCTCTTAACAATCGAGATGCCACCAATAATGAAAATTAACTATTGACCGTAGCTAATTTGGAATAACACTAAAATTGTATGTTTGGAACTATTTATTGGCCCTAGGTCCATTTTTATGTGCTACATTGTTGTATTTGTAAGCTTTCTTTCTACAAATCTTTGAAACAAATAGGCAAAAAGTTCATCAAAACCCATATATCTCTTCTCTAGGGATACTCTTCACCAACCTCAAGTAATCAAAACGAAATTTGAGTAAACAACTTGCGAAAACACCGCACTTCTTTGACTTTTGAACCTTTTCAAACACCAAACACCAAAAACAATCGAAGGGGAAGGTACCAATGTTAATTGGCGGATCCTTCTTTTAACTTTGTGTTTTGTCCAATGCAGGACCAAGATTTGTCCCCAGCGGGAGTCAAAGCCTATTGCTCTTATGAATTCATCAATTACTCTCTGAGCGCTTTGCATCCACTTTTAATCAAGCTGGTTCTAACTTTGAAAGGAATGATGGCGAGTCCATTGCAATTAATAGATAGGCGACCAAGTTGACATGTGCACAACCAAAGGAAATTGAGAAGTCTATAAACATGAGCACAAGAAAAATAAAGAACAATAATAATTGCAATAGGAAAGCATAACTTTGTCTATGTAGTTTTTTTGTTATGCAATGAGCATACTGAGAATGTTACACATGACTATTTCTATTGTCCAAGAATAACGACAACACACGCTATGGGCTGAGAGATGGATCAATATAGGACTGAATTGTAAATGTTTAATTACTTGTCTGGTATGAAACTAAAATGGTTCATGGATCTAGTAATATCATGAATCGAAGACCTAGGAAAAAAGTATTGGGTCCTTTACTCATCCCTGACACAGCATAGCAATACAACGAAGAAAAGCGCTGACGTACATAGAAGAATCTTTAGAATAATAGACTATCCTTGGCATACACAAGGTCCTCAGAATATGTTCAATCAGCTACACAAGCATATGTCGCTTACATTTATGGTTATGGAGATCATGGTGGTCTCCTCTACTTCAGCCTTTTTGGGATTAGTTCATGACAATGGAGATCATGGTGGTCGCCTCTTCTTCAGCCTTTTTGGGATCAGTTCATGGCAACCTTCATTAGGACTCCCTTGGATAAGCGCACAAAAGGATAGAAGAAGCCTAGGAAAAGTATACACAGGTAAATCTGAAGTGGGATCCAGCAGATATTGATCAATGACAAACCATTTGTTTCGAGGCTCCAATATGTGCTACTCCTAATGTTTGATTTGTCGATTGTTAATATCTATGGTATTTTTTTTTGACCGAAGAAGCTAAAGAGGAGAACGTTATTTACTAACATTACGAATAGAGCGATAAGTATACTTGAAGCGGTGATATTAATATACAAACACCAAGTCCACGACGAAAGGTTCTAAATAGGTGACTTTTTGCTATGTACGAGAGAACTTTGAGATGGTAAGGCAATGGCGGTGT